TAAAGGGGAGTGATGGCAACTGCATCATCACCAATTGCGATCCAGTGATTCAGATAGCTTACACTAAGGAAGGAACTATGAAGAGTGTGCCAGAGAGAATCGATGACAACCTTCCAGAAATGGTAATAATGGGTAGATTTTGAGAAACTCTTTTCGATCAAGCACAATTGGGGCCAGGATTTTCGTCAGTTCAAAGTGAAATCATACATGTTCATGCTTAGCAACAACCATTTGCTTTTATAATTCATTTTTGATCTTTGCTAGTGTTGGATAGTATTTATTTTATCGGCCTGTTCCATCCGTTTACGGGACGCCATCCAGCAGATTAGCTGATTGGGATTAGGAGTGACGCTAAACGACGTAGCGTTTATAAGTGTGCACGACGGCGCACTAGATGTTGAAGGGTTTCTGGAGTTAGCTTAACTCTGGTTAATATTTTATTCTTTGTTTAGAACATATCTATATTTACTATCTAATAATAACCCTAGACATATGCACTCCATAAAATATCACCTTGCCTTAATGCGTATCCATCAAGCTATGTGGGCAGTTGTTAAAGGTTGGAGAAAAAGCGACAGCACATGAGTATTGTTCACGTGGATATGAAAACATAAAAATACTTTAAACAACCAAGTGGGCTTTCGCGATAGAGCGCACTAGCCTCAAAAAGTATTTCTGCCAGGAGCAAAAAAATGTTTTGATCAGAGTGGGACTCGAACCCACGCCACTTTCGTGACCAGCACCTGAAGCTGGCGCCTTAACCGCTCGGCCATCTGACCTCTTTTTTCGAGCTAACTCTCGAACTTTTTGATATTAGTCGTAAAATATGTGTGTAGGTAAGTGAAAGTTGATACAAATCATTTTTATTGCTTGCGCCTTTAAAACCAAACGCGCAGGACAGCCACACAGACTATTTAATCGAACACTCTCAAACGCCACAGGACGACGACACCTCAGACGCCCTACTCACTATGACTTCTAACGGACAGTCTCAAGGCTCGCAGAATACACTGAGTGAAAACTGACTTTATTCGAATTAGGATAATTTATTGTGTTTTTTTTCGTGTTATTCTAAACAAACATCAGCGCTTAAAGGTTACGCCAAAAAAAAAAAAATTGCGCCTTTAAAACCCAGCAGGGACTAGCTCTCTATCATTATTTGTCTTCAATATATAGTGAATATAAAAAGTAATAAAGTGTTAAGCCTTGACGATACTCCGACCAAAGTTTTTACCCGTGAACAAATCCAAGAATGCCTGGGGCGCGCTTTCCAAGCCCTCAGTTTCCGACAGACGGTAAGTTATCTTACCCGCACGGTAGAGCTGCGACATCTCTTTGTAAAAGGCCACATGAGTTGGCGTATCATAATACTCATCGATAATGAACCCATGGATTGTGGCCTTCTTAATAAGCACGCTGGTAAGGCACTTGACGCCGTAGCGCTCATCCGGCGAAGAGAGATTGTACTGAGTGATAGCGCCACAGATAATAATCCGGGCATGAGTATTAATATGAGCAAGCGCAGCATCCAAATACTCGCCACCGACATTGTCAAACCAGATATCGATGCCCTCAGGAGCAGCCGTTTTGATGGCTTCAGCGTAGTTACCGCAAGTCTTGTAGTTGAACGCCACATCAGCGCCAATGCTCTTCACAAACTCGACCTTGTCATCAGATCCTGCAACACCGACCACACGCAGGCCACGGGCCTTGGCTAGTTGGACGACCATTTGCCCGACTCCTCCAGACGCAGACGAGACAAGAATAGTTTCGCCCGCCTTTGGCTTGGCCAAAACAATCGCACCGACATAGGCGCTAAATGCAGCCATTCCGAGAACACCCACATGGTCCTTGGGCTCAGCACTGTAGTGGGTAGGCGCCTTTGAGATAGCACGTGCCTCGGTAATGTACTCGGTCTCCCACTTGCCATCGTTGTCAATGACTAGGTCACCAGCTTGATAGTCCGCGCTGGCAGAAGCAACGACGGTAGCAACCAAGATATTGGTAATGGCGGCTCCCTCAGAGTAGCTCTCAATAAAGCTGCCCTTGACGCCAGCAATACGTCCGCGCTGATAAGGGTCTATGGAGTAGTAAATTGGGCGCAAAAGTACTTGGTTATCTGTAAGCTGGTCCTTTCTTGGCGAAGATACTTGCTCGATTTTGAAATCAGCAAGCTTGACAAACCCTCCGCGGACATGGCTAGGAAGCGAGATACGAGTAATAGTAGACGACGACATTTTTTTAAAATAAGAATAAATAACACTGTTTAAAAAAGGAGAGAATGAAAGGCTGACCAGAGCTTCTATAGCAGTCAGAGTCAGGCGGACAAAGGGGCACAAGGGATTGTTCAAATTCACAAACGATGTTCTTTGTACGAGAACACCGATCGTCAAGATTATTTTGATTGCCGTCGCAAATCCCAAACAAAATTTTTTTTATTTTTTACACACAAAAATATTGTTCAATATGTATATAAAATAATAAATAGCGGTACAAACTATGCCTTGATAATACTCTTGCCAAAGTTCTTGCCCTCAAACAAGTCCAAAATAGCCTGTGCGCCGTTCTCCAGCCCCTCAGCCTCCGTCAAACGGTACTTAATCTTGCCCTCATGGTACAGCCTGGACACTTCCTCGACAAAATCCTTGTGAGCCTGCGTATTATAGTAGTTGCGGATAATATATCCCTGGATCTTGGCCTGCTTCATCAAAACGTTCGTAATATTCTTGACGCCATAGCGCTCCTCCGGCGACGAAATTCCGTACTGAGTAATAGCGCCACAAATGACAACACGAGCAAAAGTGTTAATATTGGCCAACGCAGCATCAAGGAATTCGCCACCAACATTGTCAAAGTAAATATCGATACCCTCCGGAGCCGCCCTCTTAATAGCCTCAACAAAGTCGCCGCATGTTTTGTAGTTGAATGCAGCGTCAGCTCCAATGCTCTTCAAGTACTCGACTTTATCGTCAGATCCCGCGACTCCAACCACACGCAATCCACGCACTTTACTCAGCTGAACAACCATCTGTCCAACAGCGCCCGATGCTGTCGAGACCAAAATAGTCTCTCCCGCCTTTGGTTCAGCCAAAATCGTTGCGCCCACATAGGCAGTGAACGAGGGCATACTGAGGACACCCACATAATCCTTCGGATCGATTCCTTGCTGCGCCGGCGCCTTTGAAATCGCACTAGCCCTGGTTATATATTCGGTCTCCCACTTGCCGTCGTTGTCAAGTACCAAGTCCCCCTCCTGGAAGTATTTACTGGCTGACGCGACGACCGTGGCCACCAAATAGTTGCTAATAGGATGGCCCTTCTTGTAGTTCTCAATGTGGCCAACCCTGACGCCAGAAAGGCGATAGGCCTGGTAAGGGTCAACAGAGTAGTAGAGCGGGCGCAATATAACTTCGTTCTCCTTCAGTTGCTCCTTGGTGGGAGCAGGCCCCTGGACTGTTTTAAAGTCGGAGATCTTGGCCTGGCCGCTCGCAGCATAGTTTTCGAGCAAGACGCGAGTAATAGTAGACATTGCAAATAAAAGTTGCAAGATAAATGTAGTTGCTAGTGGTGGAGATAGATGGAAGAGGCAAAGAAAGGCCGACTGGCGACCCTTCCTTAAATAGTATACACAGGAGGAGATGCATAAAACATTGGCGTGCTTACATCTCGTGATATTCACTACAATGCTAAACGATTACTAATGTAGAATAGAATAG